AAGAAGAATTTTACTGAAAGAGTGGAAAAACATCCCGGAAGAAGATGTAAGAAACTTGGTCGGTGGAATAATCATAATTGTATTTTATTTTTTTTTAACAAAAATTACAACAAGAAAAAAATGTATTTTTTTTCTTTCTTTCTTGAATTCGTACTTTGATTTGTTCTTTTAATTAACGAAACTATCATATCAAAAACGAATCCTTTTAAAAATATCCATTAACATTCAGTCAAATTAGAATATTGAAGTGATACTTCAATTGTGTCTGGTAGTGTATATGAATATTTAAAATTTGTAAACAAGCGGAAAAGCAATTGAAGAGCAGTGTTCTCATACTCGTCGTAGGCTTAGGATGGGAAAAGGCACAGTGAGACAATGTGTAGCCAGTACGATATGTAAGTACTTGACACTATGTGTAACTGAGATGATTATTTTAGTAGGTTTATATAAAATATATCATTATGATTTAATATTACGCAGAAGGAATGGCTAATTTAATTTAATTAGTCCTTTTAAATGAACAATGAAGAAAAAAAATGCATGAAGGAGGGCTAGCCCCCCCAATATATCGCAGTCATTTACATATAATATAATAAATGAAAATCTGGTGCGCGCAATCACAAGACTTTCACTTACCACCCTCTTCTTAGCCGAAATAAGTATTTTAAGTAGTGTTGCCCAAAATCGGTCTTGTTTTTGCACTCCGCAAGACCAAGATTAAGGCCGCCTAACTGTTGCAAGACCAAGACCAGGACAGGTGAAAAAAATCAATTTTCTGAATAAAAATTAAGGCAAAGTAGTTACTAATAGTCGACAATTTTAGTTACTGTATGTTAATAATTGGTATAACCAATACACTTTTGCATTTAAATTTTCTAGTTTTTCATTCGGCCTTAGTTAGGTTTCTCCTATCTAATAAATTACATTAATATCTCTATAGTATTAAGCTAAAAAGTAACTGCAAGACTGTTGCGAGACTCTTGCGCAAGATCAAGACCATGTCCAAGACTGAATTTGCAAGACCAAGACTCGTCTCGGTCTCGCATTTGAGCAAAACTTATTTTAAGACAAAGGGGAAGAGTAAGTAAAAATTATAGACGCTATATTTATATAAATTTCATTGTGTGTATTTTTAGTTGTTTGAAATATCTTAAATTAAAAAATATCCTTATATATTTTAAGGAAAACCTTGTTGTAACATCCAAGGCTTAAATAAACCTCAAATACACAATTCGGCTTCGTACAACTTTTCCTTTTCGAGCTAGGCTATTCACATACATACCCACAGACCATTTTTCAGGACTTGGTTATTTGAATTCAGAGTACCCCAAAGCGTGTATTTCCGTTGAAAACTAAGATTCAAAAATTTTCTCGATCACAACACTTACCCTTACTATATAATACATATATACGTAAGTGAAAGTAATAATAAACCAAAAATATTTTAAAATCGCGATATCTCTATTAATAGTACTTTGACTTCGATGAAACTTCTTTAATTTTTAAAGAAATTTAAATACCTCTGAATCAACTTCTCGCAATATCCATAAAAAGGTGTATACTTTTTGGGTTATTCGGAATTTAATTTTACCATCTCTCTTAACATTTTTTCCAGCTTCTTTTAGTTGAAATAAGTTATACAGATAAATTTAAAGGGTGTCGAGAAAATTACTTTAGCAAACTTTCATTGAAATCGGTTCTAAATATAGCAACGCAGGTTTTGCTGCATTTTTATTTTTTTTCTCCTTTATTAACTTATCAAATTCTTTCAAAAGTTATATTTGCATGTTTTTGTAACTCTGAATAATATGAAATGATTAACTTTCTAAAATAAACCATATTAAAGGTACTTTAGAGGAAGACGCATATGAACACTGGGCATTTAAGCCCTATAAAGTGACATCAACGGGGATAAGACCTAAATGATATAAAAGATATTAAGTGGCACTTCTGGTTAGCCGATATTAAGGAGTTGCTGTCCCATCTAAGGCATATACCTATCTTAAATACGTAATATCAGTTTCGTAGGACTTTTCGGTTTGAGCTAGTGTTCACATATACACAGACCAGTTGTGGAACTTACTTATTTGGACTCAGGGGACTTCAAAACGTGTATTTCCGTAGAGAACTCAGATTAGAAAATTTTCACGATCACAATATTTACCCTTACTATTTATTAAATACGTATATAGATAAGTGGAAGTAAAAAAGGGTAATAAACAAATCAAATAAATGTTATGAGTAATAAACTGATTGCAGAGTAAAAAAAAAAGTACAATCTTATGTTAGGTATCGGCAATATGATACCTGATGAAGTCCAACGTATACCTAAACTTTGGCACATGTAATAAAAAGTATTTTAAATACTGTTTCTTTATCAATTCCCGGAATTAACTTCTCCAAGATTATGTAAGTTTAATGTTGAATTCAAATCAGCCTTCTAATTAATGTAAAATAAACATAAATGCACAATAAGTAGTCAATTATCGTGGGAATGAATATCATAATTATTATATAAAAATTGACAGCTTAATATTTAGAGAATAGGTAATATTTAAAGAAAAGGAAGATTTATTTACGCAAAACTCACAAAATATAAAATTTATAGTTAATTATACCTATGATAAATTGATAGGTTTTCACGATAAAAACGCTAAAAAAAAACGCTGCAACAAAATTATTTTACAATGGTTTATTATTTTCAAACAATTATACATCTAAAATAACATTTCCTTCCTTATCACAAAGAAAAATTAAAGGTGATTCCAATTATTGGATTAAACTTTTTTTTTTAATCATAAGTAATATGCTAAAAAAAAACTAGTATTACTTCAGTAACACATTCAAAATTCAAAAACCAAAACAAAGGATATAACCTCATCAGTAGAACATACAAAAAAAAAAAAAAAAAAAAAAACTAAATACCGTATCTTTGTTAAAAATTGTTCGATTTAAACGAATTTTATATGAAATTCCGTAAACTTTTAAGAAACCATATACAATATACACAAAAAAGTGTATACTTTTTGAGTTATTCGGAATTTAATTTTACCATCCCTTTTAATTCTTTTTTCAGCTTCTTTCCGTTGAAGTATGTTATATATATCACATGATAAAGGGCGTCGAGAAAATGACTTTTGCGAAGTTTCATTGAAATCGGTACATTCGTTTAGGCGGTACAGTCAATAACAACGAAGTTTTTTGGCTGCCATTTTGAAAGTAAAAGGCGGATAGTAATGTCGATGAAGGAGGATCATCAAAGGGTGAGCTCTGATTTTATATCTAAATTTGAAAAAAAAAGGTCCGGTAGTTTCGGAGAAAATATGCGGACGGCGAACGGACATAAAAATTTGTATTCGTTTTTCGAATTCTAAGTTCACTGAAACGTAAAACCTCAAATTTTGAGAGGAGGTTAAGTTTTTGAATTTTCGGTCGATCTCAATGGTTCATTATTGAAAATAAACGAAAATCATAAAAATTCTAATATTATTAGCCATGATACAGTCATTTGTGCTCTATAAATCAGTTTAATTCGACCTAAGAAAATATAATTACTTCTACTCTGTTATAATACACTGAATTTATTTATTTGTTGTTAATTCACAGATCGATATACCATGAATAAGAATTATTCAGCCAGTTAGAAAAATATATATTATAAATGTAGTTTTTCGAATGACATATTTTGTAGTGTGGAAAGTATTAAGTATGTTGTTCAACTATGAGGCTCGTGAGAACAGGTATTCAAAATAAAACATTAAACCATGAAAATATTAAAACAAAAATCTCTCTCCTTTTTTTAAAAAAATTAAAACTGTGCATGTGTATTCGGGTGGCCGAATGGGCAAACGTGTGTGCACAGCATCGCCATTGTCCGGCAACCTCATACATGAGAATAACTGGATACTTTTAGAAAAGTAGGCTAAATTATTGTTATGAAAAAAAAAAACAAGTAAAATTCATTTTTAGTGCCTTTTGAAACTCTTAAATCCCGATTTTTATTGAAATCATAATTTGCAAACTTTTATACTTGATTTTCTTAGAGGATTTTTTTTTCCGGTCGATAACATAAGAACACGTAACTTCTTTTGTTTTTTGTAATTTATGATGCATTATAAGTCATTTAATACAATAGTTAATATTTTTATCTTATTCTGCACAACAAACAATATAGATTGATATATAATAACCTAAAGTTCCGGACAAAGCAAAGGCAAAAATAATAAATATAAATTTTATTTGAAATTATGTAAAATATTTTGCTTCCTCACTATCGAAGATTGTGTTCGTGCAAGAGATAAAAAAAAAAAATTGTATTAAAAAAAAGTTTAGTCCAATAATTTGAATCACCTTTTATTTATAACTAGGAAGGTAATGTTACTTTTGTATGTATAATTGTTTGGAAATAATAAACCATTACATTTTTACATAAGACCTTTTGTAGTAATAGTATTGAAATTCATGTTCAGTATGCATTTTTTTTGTTTTTTTTTTATTAAGAAAATCAAATATGGAATCTTCAAATTCGGCACTCTTTTGTTGAATGTTGAAGGGTAACTGTCCCGAATCTACTTCTCCCAGACATTTTATTCTCATCCGAAAAATTGTGTACCATGTGATATACAATGAAAACGGTGAGGAAGCTATACTGACTTGTTTAGCAGACGTTTTATTTCTTGGCTTTTGAATTGGAACAGACATGTTTACATAGACAACGTGAAACACGTCTCAGAGACCAAACTCGCACAAAACATCTACTAGTGTGGACTAGCCATAAGATGTGAAGAGCATGTTACACATAAAGTTATTTTCATTTCATTTCATTTGATTTCATATATAACAAATAATGATGTCTCTAAAATTCTCCTAGAAGAAAAATATTCAGAGGTAGAAGAGCAGAAAGACCTCGCTTAAAACTCGGAATACCAAAAAATAAATGATGCTGTTATTATTTATTGTTTACCGCAAGTATACTAAATAATGCTTTCATATATTTTCAGGCAATATGTCAGCTATGGTAGCAGGCGCGGCATTCTCTTGGTTCGAACCAATCACAGTCCGCCTCGTAGAGGACCCTGAACTGGACCTCAGCAACGAAGACGTTTCCTGGATCATCGCCATCCTGGAGATCGGGAATTTCATCAGTCCTCTGGTGTCGGGCGAACTGACTAACAGGTGACTAGCGATTTAGGCTACTGGTTCGAGTGAGTGCACACTAAGGCTAATTTAAAGCTTTTCTGATTTGGAACAAGATAGTGAATCAGCTGTTTTTCCTTAACTGCCTAAATCAATGGAGAAGTCAATCATGGCCAAGTCTATCAACACCTGGTCACCAATGATTAAACAACTCAATTGTTCTTGATATTATTCTAATAACTTGTCTGAACTTTTGATTTATTTAAATTTATTCCAGTTTTTCATGTATAATTAATCGTTCAAAAAACACATGCTAAGGTCAGTATAACTTTCCCCAAAATTTACATTGGTTGTACTAGCCATATTTGTTGTTGTATACCCAATAAACCCACATTTTAAGATCTATAATGTTTCATTTATGAATCAAATCTTCGGGCGGTTTCTATGAACTAATTTAATTTTTTCTTTGATCAATGTTAATGAAACCGAAATTTTTCAATATTCAGAACAAAAAACCTATTAATGAGGAATCTTTTTATTTTAATTTTTATTATATTTACAACTGTATTAGCTGTAACGGGAGCCTCTTTAAATAAAAGAATTTTAATTCCAAGAATTAATTTAATGTTGTCTCGCACACTGCTTCCATCCGAATTTCAAAGAACAACATTCTTATTAATTGATTGGTATGGCCATTATCAAATCGTAGGGTGAAAGTTTTGGGAAAATTTGTGTATTATTGCGGCGTCCAGTCATTTTGCATGGACAATTATATATGGCAGCAAATAGAGCACGTTCGTTTAAAATTTATATTCCCAATGGCAATGGGCAAGGCTACTTAGTAAACAATAACATAATATTAAAAAATATTAAAAAATTGTTTACTGAGAAGTTCTACATAAAAATTGGTTCAGACTGAATTTAAATTTATTTTTACTTCCTTCATTATAACATTAATTTATTGTGGTAATAACACACATAAGTTAAAATGGAAATTAAATATTTTTGAATGAGTCTATTTTGTATTACTTATAAATAATTTCAAGTAACTTAAGCTCGATTTTTAATTTAAATTTAAATTTTGTTTATATTAATAAATGAGGATTTTTGAATCGTGATTTACTCTTTATTTATAGAATTTATTTTTTATTTAATTATATGCTTTTTTTCAAATTTTTAATGGTTATGGCCGAATTTCGACCACTGGGCGAACACTAGTAATAAATAATTAGGCATACATCATCGATATATTTCAAACAAATTTTCTTTTGTGAAAACACATTCGTCACTTAAAATTTATTTTTTTTTCTTTAACTATTTAGTCAAGATATTTACAACTGTATCAGTATAAATACATCAAGTAAATGTGTACAGAGGAATATAATTACATGAAAACGGTTGTTAGAAACAAGAGGATTCGGATGGTTATGAAGTTTATTATGGAAGGATAGATATCTAGATAGGGCCAAATCTGAAACATATGGAACATTAAGATCAAGGACGAATCTAAAAATATGAATGAAGTTGGCTAATTGAATGAAATGAATGACTATGCAAACCTAAATTTTTTTAAGGCAAACAACATACCCTTAAAGAAATAAATAGATGAATAAGTTATGTATTATCACCGCAGACTATCAAGTTTATGAAGGAAAATTATCGTTGTGCGATTTCAACCAAATATTTGTATTATTATTTATTTGATATAAAATACAATTACACTCAAAGTATATCCCTTTGTTATCAACCATCATTAGCCATCTGCTAGCCAATGCATCGATCTCACGCTTACAGTAACCTTTGGAATGGCTGTCAAAGAACTCTTTTTTTCAATTTTCAATCTTTTGAAATTGACAATTTCAAAATTGTCAAATTTTTTACCACGAAGAAAATGGGCGGTGGATCTGAAGAAGTAGTAATCCGATGGTGCGAGGTTTGAACTATATGGTGGATGAGACAGGAGTTTTCCCGGCATGTATTTTTCAATAAATTTTTACAAATTTCTAGCCTGTTAGCTGATTGCCGAGGAGTAAGTTCGTGAGGGACCAGTCTAATGCTCTTTTTCAGTTTCCCCATGGAGAGTAGATGGCGACTAACAGTATCTTTCGACACACCACATTCCCTGGCATGTTCGCGAGTACTTGTGGACGGATTTGACTCAACAGCTTTTTATGTCGTATCTCCACCGCTAACTTTTTCAAACCAACGCCGCGCAGTGCGCAGGTCAAGGAAATCTCTCCCTTCATATATTAATAAATTTACGAGTTATTTCAGTGGCTGAGTAATTTTTTTTCTCCAAATTACGAGAATTTCGTAGGACACTGCCGTGTTTCTTCTTTGAAACAAATAACTAAACTGAAACTTTTTTTTGAAAAATGCGAATGTTATTAAACATGCTTAAAAAATGCCCTAAAGGGATTATTAAGCACTGGTAAGTTTTAAATAAGATTACAATATATATAGTCCTTTGGAATCTTGAATTTGCTAAAACGGTAATTTTTTTTTATATACTGTATTAATTTGAATTTACAAATTTATATATTTAAATAAATACTTCAAAAAATACACATCATAATCAAGACCCGGATTTTTATGCCATTTCATATTTTGTTTGCGTTAATTGTTTTAACCGCTAATCAAATAATTATACAAAATTGTACAATGTGATACAATTAGTCAAATTTTATTTTGCATATCTGAGGATAAATGCATATAATTGCATATATATGTGAATGAATATTTATTTATTTATATATACAAATTAAAATGTAATATTGAAGATGCAACCTAATATTACGTAGGTTTTGAATGAACCAAATATATCACATTTATACACTGTATACCTTATTTATTCCTTCCTCCCTTCCTTGCCTATCGGATACACGGGATGGCATATCTCAAACGTGCATGTCATTCCTGCTATTAAACGACAAATATTTTAACAGTTTTGTTTTGTTTTTTCAAAAACTCTTCTGTTTCCTTAATTTTCTTTTCACCATATCAGTCTGGTGCCTTTAAATGGGCAGGTCCTTTTCTTCCCAGATTGAAGAGTGCCGGGCCCAGAGCAGCTTTCCACCGTACTGGAAAATCTTTGTAACACGGATAGTTATGCTCTGTTACCGATTGGGGAAATTCATCCTCAGTGAGCCCATAGAGTCGAATTTCCCTTATTCGATCAAATACGGTGCAGTTGAATATTACGTGCTCAGCCGTCTCCGGTACTCCGCAAGTGGGGCATAGGGGATCTATGTCTTTTCCAAGATTATGCAACCTGGCGCGGAAACCCCCATGCTTCGTAAGAAATTGAGAGATCCAGTATTCTCGGAGAACTCACTTCGCATCCAAGGGACTTCGGTCGGTGTGGAAATATTTTCTTAAGGTCGCTCCTTTCGAGGTAGTTATCCACCGCCGGTTCCACTCATCTGTGCTATTCTGCCGAATAATCCTTTGCGATTGTCTCAGGTCTTCAGAAATCCTCACCCAGATACTCTCCTATAGACTGTAGACTGTAGGCTGAGTAGACTGTATACCTATTTATTTTATTTACATTCCACCCTCCCTATCTTGTCTAATGTGCTATAAGGGCGTTTGCAATAGTGAGGTGTTATGCATGACCGAATAACAGCATACTACTGCAAGTGAAACAGTTTAAAAGTTTTTATCTACAGTGACTTTTGACGTCAAATTTCCGACATGCTGTTTTCGACAGATCTATACGTTTCCGAGCCCTCTGAGTCCGAAAACCATATTTTTAGCCATTGGTCTGTATTAGCGACCTTATTCTTTTTTTTCACATTTTTTTTTTAACTTATACTTTCCTACATACACTAGGTAAGGAAAGTATTGAAATCGGGTCAAATTTCCGACTCAAATCTTATGTTTGATCAATTTTCAGGAAATTGTATCTAGTTCAATTCTTTTTTGTTTCTTCATGAACATATGCAAAGATATCAAAACTTTTCTGAAATAGGTAGTAAAGTCGTGTGAGTGGACACACCAGATATTTTTTATATGTAATAAATATATAGAATTTTTTCTTCATTACACTTCTTATTACACTAAGTTTGTAATTTCAGATTCGGCCGTAGGTTGATGATCATGAGCACCGGACCACTCTGCCTGGCAGGATGGATTCTAGTTCTCTGCTCCAAGAGTATTCTTTCTCTGATCGTTGCCCGGATACTCCACGGACTGGCGGTGGGGGTGGTCTTCACGATCCCGCCGATCTACACGGCAGAGATCGCCGATCCTAAACTGCGCGGTAGGCTCTCCGGAATCTTCCTATTAGCCTGGTTCCTTGGATCCTTGTACTCCTTCAGCGCTGGTCCTTACCTCAGCTATGATACGTTCGCCTATGCTTGCCTCCCGTTTTCAATAATATTTACAATATTATGGATGTTCGTACCTGAGACTCCATACTACCTATTGATGATTGGGCAGGAGGAAAAAGCCAAGGAGGTTCTCAAGTATTTCAGAGATGAAGACGTTGAAGAAGAATTCGTGAACATGAAGAAATCAGTTAGAGAAGAGATGTCAACGGAAGGGTCCTGGAAAACACTCTTCTTCGACAAGATCGAGAGGAAAGCATTCATTATTGTACAGATCGTCTGCATTACCAAAAACCTCACTGGGATGTCAGTGCTCGAAAACTACGCGTTGGAGATATTCTCGAAAAGTGAATCCTCTGTCTCTCCAGAAATCATGTCTATTCTTCTCGCCGTTCTCCTTTCCGTTATGGGTTTTATCGGAGCCTTCCTCTCCGACTGGGCTGGTCGTAAACCAATGCTCCTCCTGTCCTGCTTTGGTTGCTTCTTCGCACACTTCCTCAGCGGTGGATATTATTACATCCACGAGAAGACCAACATTGATGCCTCTAACTATATTTGGGCACTCTACATCGGTATTACTATGTATGGCGTCCTGTGTTGCATGGGCATAGGAGTCATCCTGCAAACCCTACAGTCCGAAATGTTTGGTGCAAGTACTAGAGGTATCGCAGCCGGAGTCACTGAGGGTTTGTCTTCATTTTTTGCATTATTGGTAATCAAACTATATACTACAATAAACGAGGCCTATGGATTATATCTCAACTTTCTGATTTACAGTTTGGTAGGTTTAGTTGGAGGAATTCTCTTGTCTTGTCTTGCTTATGAAACGGCGGGGAAGACGATAGGTCAAATGGAAGATAGGGTAAAGAAAACCAGTGTTGCTTGAGTATTTACGAATATTCTATTAGAGTAAACTAGCATGGTTTTTTCGTTCAATCAGACATCCTCGGTGGACATGTTTTTAATTTTAAATTTTTGAACTTAGTGGGAGATAACTTTTCTGTATATCTGTAATAGGGTGGAGCGAAAAATACTTTTATCGCCAAACAACTTCCGTATAGAATTCAAAAGTTGCCTTTTTATGTCCACAAAACACAAAAAATTGTGTTGTTCTATTTTTGAATTTACCTTCTTGAGGTTCAAGAGCAGGCTTAGAAATAACATTTTTATACAAAACATTTAAATTTATGTCTGGTTTAGTTCTATTTTTTTTTTATCAAATGTATATATATATATATATATATATATATATATTACTTTTTATTATTTTATTTTATATTAAATTTGTCGCTGCGTTGTAACGCATAATAAGCAAATGTATTAGCGTTTGGGTCACTGCCTATTTAGTCGTCGTTGAGGTTCACCACGTAACAGGGAGGAAGATAAATATAGAACAAGTGGATTTGGATGATTGAGAGAAGAAGAATGAAATGTTGTGTACTTGTTGAGTATGTAGGATTTTCCTTTTGGTATTTTCATGTCTGTGAGTATGGTGTGATTTGAAATAAACCAGGAGCATTGACGATTTTACGAAGTATTTTGGATAGTGTGGTTTGAATTTTGTTTATGTTTGTGTGTTTTGCGGAACCCCAAACTGCTCCGTATGTCCAAATAGGTTATATATGGTGGCGTAGATTAGTCGCTTGTTTAGTAAGTTGAGTGGAGATCTGTAGTCCAAAAGATGTGACAGTTGTTTGTATCAATTCAGTCAGTCAGTTCTTGTTTTGTTTTTTAATTTAGTGTGAATGTTCCAGGTGAGTTTTTGTCCAAGTATAGTCCAAAATACTATGAGTACATGAACCATACATGAGTTTTTAAGGGAACTGGCTTATTGTCTATTGTCACAGCAGGACAAGAGATCTTCCTTGGGGAAAAGCTAACATAAGATGGCTTGCTGGCATTGATTTTAATTCTTCACTTGTAAAACCATTTTTCAAGGTTGTGGAGGTGATTTTGAAGTACTATTGAAGCGATAGTGGATTTTTTGTGAGAAGAAATAATTGCCGTATAGTCAGAAAAGCTGTAGAGAATGGTGGTAGGGTGCTCAGGGATATCAGATGTGTAGAGAGAAAAGAGAAGAGGGCACATTTCTTAAAATCAAATTAGTAAAACAACAGATAAAATAAGTAACTTACTTATCATTTTTTAATACTTACTTTGTTTTAATGGCTGATTGTTAATTATTACATTACCTTTGTCATTTTTCTTTTAGCATTGTGAATTATTTGCTTTTCATGACGAAATTTTATTATTAAACCCCTTTTATTATTATCATTGCATGGTTGTTTTAAGTGAATGAATGAAAAATATTTTTATTCTGGGACTAAAGTCTTCTAAAAGTAATGACAAGGTTCACGAAATTTGTATATTAATCTGATATTATAGAAATAAAGCATATATACAGAAAAAAAATAAAATAAATTACATAACATTAAATGAAACTGGTAAATTAACTGTTAACAATGAAAGAAAATCTAAAAACTCTCACATAGTTGCGGAAGTCGAATAATAATTACGGAGTGGAGTAGGAGTTGTTTGAAGGGTTACGAAGACGAAGATTGACGTATACCGAAAGGTAAGGTGTTCCATAAGGTGGTATCATGAAATGGAAGTAGATTAAGGAGGGTCTTGGATGTGAGTAGAGATAATAAGACCTATTGTATATTATGAAAAAAATTCTAGAAATAGAAGACAGAAGTTTTTAATTGATGAAATGATGTAACCTTTTAATTTAAGGGTATATATATATATATATATATATATATATATATATATATATATATATATATATATATATATATATATATATGCGAACAAATTAAACAACTAATTTTTTTTGTTGTTTTATCAATTATAAAGTAACCATGAATGCATCAGTAGATTCACGGGGGCTGAGTTTTCAAATTGCTATCAAATTGAGGGTGGTGTTCCTCAAGGTAGCGTATTGGGTCCCGTCCTTTACATCCTCTTTACCGCCGATATCCCTGTCCATCCCGATACCTTCCTGGCAACTTTTGCTGATGACACCGCCATTCTATCATCCGACTCAGATCCTGATATAGCATCCTTAAACATTACGGGACACCTCTCAATGATTGAGCACTGGTGTAATAAATGACGTATTAAAGTAAACGAATCCGACGCAGTTCCTGTCCACCAGTACACTTTAATTCCATCCAGCTTCCTTTCTTAGACACAGTCCGGTACTTTGGCTTTCTCTTAGACAGACGACTAACATGGAACCCTCATACTAGACTTAAAAGACAGGAACTTAACCGACGATACGGTTATATACGGATATAAACTATACATAATACTAAACAGAAAATCTAAACTTTCTATTGAAAATAAAATACTTATCTACAAGGCAATACTAAAACCTATTTGGACTTGAACTGTGAGGAACAGCAAAATTTTCGAATAGTCGATGATCCTATCTATGTAACCAACAAAACCCTACACCATGACCTTAATATCCCATTTGTCCTAGACCTTATCCCAGCAAAATTATCCAAATTTCACCAAAACCTTACCTATCATCCAAATCCTTTTGTAAAATCCCTATCTAGCACCACCCATTCCTATAATACTCCAAGAAGGTTAAAACGGCAGTGGCCCCGCGACCTTTTAGAGTTTGCAAATATTGAAGTTCTGGCAATGGCCAGATTCTCCCCTAACGGCATGAGTGTATGTGGCTAAAGCACTCTTGCTCAATCTCCACTGGGTTTAGCCCCAGTGACGCGGTTGAGAGAGAAGTGCAGGGATTTCCTGGAATCATGCTTTTCCCTGCACAGGCGGAGGGAAAAGTCTGGCTCGGAGTTCTCTAGCCAAATTGTAAATAGTGTATATAAGTATGTATGTGTTCTTTTTATTTATTTATGTATAGGTTATTTTATTCTTATTTATTGTATATATATTATTTTTCTGTATAATTTATTTTATTTATTGTACATAGAGTGCGAATGTGATCTCTGAACACTATTATAAATGTTCTTTGAGATAGATTGTAATATTTTTCAATAAATAAATAAATAAAAAAAAGATTCACTGACTTTCTAACTGAAACTGCCTCTTAAAATAAATCCCTTTTTGTAATTCTATATTTGTTTCCGTGAGTGATCTATTCTAAATAATTAAGCATTAACAATACTCCCTCTTTTTTACATTTTAAGGCACGTACAGCAACTAAATGTTATCATGTAATAAAAAAGCAATATAAAAAATGTTTCGCTAAAAGCATAATTGTTCCTGTAATTAACTAACTTTGTTATTTTAATTTTATTTATTTATTTTTAACAGTTCTTCATGGATTATTTAAACAAAATTTTATATAGTTTCTTAAAGAGTGACGTCATTTGTGCTCATGAGTAAAGTTTTGCCCGCCTATGTCTAACCTTAATCGGTGATCACTTTGGCAACAGATGAACGCGTTTTCAATTCAAACATTTTACAATTTGTTTCTTAAATATATGTATATGTGGAAATATAAAAAGAATTTATAGATATAAATTTTACAGCCTAAATGAATTATTTAGGCACTAAGAACTTGTAAATATCCATTTGCTTTCTATTTGGATCGTAAGATGATCACAAAATCGATAAAAAAGGTGGCCTACAAAAATATTGGGCCGTTTGTCTTGTATAACATCCTTTTTTTTTTTTAAATTTAGTGGTATAGGTCACGCCATACGGCTCAATATTTTTGATGTTCACCTTTTTTCTCAACTTTGTGATCAAATTATCTTACGTTCCAAGTAAAAAGCAAACGTGTATTTAGGAGTTTTTAGTACCTAATCAAATAGACAATGCCCCCCCCCCCCCCCTCCAGATTGAAAATGACCCAATTCCAAGATTTTTCGTAAATAAAATAGTTGTAGGTTACAATGAGATGAAACTATTTACGAAGGCAGATGTTAACAATTCGATAAAAAGGGGCCTGTACCACGGACTATATTGTTTTGATTAATCTCTTTCTTTGATAGTAAAAAAATGAATTGCACTGTATTAAATTTATTTTATAACTATTTATAACCCATATAGCTTTTAGTTAATTTTCAAAGAGTGTTAATCTAATATAAGAAAACTAATTTTATAAAATTATTAACATTCATTACACCTGGTGTTTAATTCATTTTCTGTTGAAATATGTATCATTAGTGTTAGAAATAATAAAAAGTTCTGTTAAAATACGTATATATTTCTTTTTATTAATACCCTTTACATTTTATTAAATATTACAAACAGTAACCCACATACAATTCACATTGAATAAATATATGGAGTCTGCCACCAAAAACATAACCTATAAATGCAGGTTAAAAAAGGTTGGAACTCTTTTTTGTGGTGTCCATTTTGTTTCTATAGATAAATTACTTGTGACTGATTAATGGGCTAGTTGTCCATTTTGACCAGTTAATTAAATTACTTGTGATTGGCAAATGACGACGGTGTCCATTTGGTCATCAAATTAATTTACTCAAATTTAATAACTGGTATATCTACAAAAAATAAAAATAAATAAATAATAAGTCTGCCAAGTAAAGTAAGTATAGCTTCCTTACCGTTTTCATTGGCCAAAAAATATCAGTGTTATAAGGTATACAATTTTTCGGATGAGAATAAAATCTCTGAGATAAGCCATTTTCGGAAATTCAGTAACCCCCTAATATATAAAGGTTTGATCTCAAAGGGTTTTAGTCATTAACATACATTAAAATGCAAAAGAAAGTCTGCGAGCATTTGCAGATTGTATATTTGATTATTCGTGATTTAAAAAAATCCAGTGCATACTGAACATTAATTTATGCAAAAATTGAGTGCTTTGCATGACAGTATAAAAACGAATTGTTTCTTATTGATTTATTAGTATAATTTCATATTTTATTGCTCTCTGCTATTTTCCATCGTATCAGACTGCTATATCAGTTACAAACTACAAAATTTCACCTCTAGCACAAATAGAATAAAAGTTGAAAATGTTGGCATACGATCTTTTGTACTAACAGTAGTGATATATACTTAATAGAACCTAATGGTTTTTAAAAACTTTTTCATGAAACCTTTTGCACTAAAACTAGTGATATACACTTAATACGTACGTTTTCACTCGTAAAATGGATGGAACAAAAAATCCATACGAAAAATTCAACTTTTTTTGTTCGTAGTTAACGAGACGAATACTTTTTTTCAGTCAGAACAAGATTAATTAAGTTGGAATATACAAATATTTTTAAAGTTCAAAGAACTTTGATATTTAAGGTGTAAATCTAGACCACGATGATTTGGTTAAACTTCAATAGAAATAAACACATTCATAAATAATAATGTTTTGGGAGGAGGGGGGGAGGGAGTAGTGTATAGAATTTGATAAAATTCATACATTCTTGGTTACCTATTTACCAGTTCCTAACTTCTCTCCAGCTTTGAGACACATTAAAAGAGGCATATCAAATATTGTCATAAAAAAAACATTTGCTCGTGCGTAAACGATATTGCTGGAATTTGATAAAATTGATATGAGACTATCTAGACACCAACTTGAAAAATCCCTGAAAATTTAATGAAAATAGGAGGAATGGTACTAGGTGATATGCCCGTCAAATCGATTTGACTACAGACAGACAGACGCTTAACCAAATTTGATCCATGATGTCTGAAATGTAAAACTCGAGTGGAAATTTTCGATTCTGAGCACACAATCTTTTTTAACCTCTCGCAGGACTCCAATGCTTCCCTACCTTGGCTAGTGAGGAAGCAAAAGTTATTCTATGCTATTTTGACTTGAAACGAAACATGAAAAAACAATTAGTTATTTAAATATTTAACATCTTTGTCTGAAAACGGTAAATAAATAAAAGAATAATAACGTGTCAGTTGAACGCGAAATTCGGCCCTACCATCCTCCTACACAATCGTTAGCCTTAAAGCAGTAAAGCCTTACAAAATTACCAATTTACCAAGACCCTCCCTCTGAACAATTCCTGTTGTTGTGTGGTACAGGTTAAAATCATTTCGTATATTGATTGATGGATTATTTTTACTTTCACTTACTCATATATCGAATATGATTTGGACTGCGGATCAACGTCGCCATGACAAAGGAAATCCAATTAAATGAGTTATGTCGAAATCCACATTTTCATTGAGAAAACATAATAGAGCGAGTGGAATTGTTCATCTAATTGGGAAACGTTATCACTAAAGAATTGGGATTGTTGAAAGATGTTAAAAGCCGAATCAAAAAAGCTAATAGAGCGTTTTTCAATATGGATGAACAAGAAATTATACAATAAAACAGGTTAAACTTTTAAACAGCGAACATTCGAGAAAGGATATGAGTAGACCACAGAAGATGGAAGATGATAGCCCAGGAGGATACATTGTAATAGAACTATTTCCAATTAAAATTATTAATTAATTAATTAATTAATTAATTAATTAATTAATTAATTAATTAATTAATTAATTAATTAATAGTACTACTGGAATAATCAATGATTTTCGGAAATATGTTCTACAAATAAAAGAATTTTGAAATATTTTGATATTATAATTGATATAGAAAATATATTTTTTTTACATTTTTTGAAAAATTGTTAAAAAAAGATCAGGGTTCAATTTGGAAATAAATTACTCATATAGAAGTATGATTTATCGTCGGATAGGTAAAGATTTAATAAACTAAGAGTTATAGTTATTTCACAGAAACTACATGGAATTTCTATGAAAATATATGGAAAAATGAGTTTGTATTTATAATAATATAATTATAATGTTATGTAAATGTTTCGTGACGTATCGCATCAGAATTTTAGGAAGTTGCAAACACCGCTCTTGAAATCAGTATATTCAAACAATTAAATGAATATTTAATATAAGTCTCAGAAATCCTCCACACAGTAAAGCATTTGTACATCATTGTTCTTAAGCTCTTTGTTGGGTTAGGATGGGAAAAGGCAAAGTGAGGCAGTACGTCATCAGTATTATATGTAAGTAGTAGACACTTTGTTAAACTTAATTAATAGTTAAACGAAAACTTTAATTATTTATTTATTTGTTTTTTATTGTTGCCTTTACCCTGCAGGGTCATTGGCAACACTTCCTATTTATATTCTAATGTAGAACTTTATTATTATTAAAAACTGTAAGGTTTTTTCCTTTAATTAATATTAGTGTAGAGCTGAAATATAAAATAAAATACATCTCCTGAGGTGTTTACTTTATTTATGATTATTATAAGTTTTTAAAAAGTGTCTGTACCATTTGTACTTAAGCAGATCACTTATTCTTAGGCATTCGCAGCAATGTTTATTGTTACATTCACAAAAAAAAAAAAAAAGTAAGAATAGGTAAGTCCAAACAATTTTCAGAAATCCAAAGGCAAAACAAAAGTACCTTTATATCTTCTATTTTTAACCGACTTTCTGTCTTTTTTTAATTGTTAATAGTTGAAATTGATGAGCTTAAGTGTTTAAAATTAAAATAAATTAAAAAAAAATTAGAAAAAGTATATATATAAAAAAAACCGCAAATATAGCTTAGTTCGAAACCAATTACTTCAATTTTGCAACGGTACAATCAAATTCTTCTGTATATACATTTCATTACTATCCGGCCTTTCGTTTCAAAATGGTGTCCGAAACCGCTCTTAAGATTTTAATGGAACTTGATTTTAAAATCGTCTTCTAGAAGCCCATTTAACTTATGTATTTAATACACATCCCCGAAAAGATGTTATAAGATAAACTATGATTATATAAGGTAACTTATTTGTATTACAAGCACATATAAACTTATATTTACGAACGTATAAGAAAACAAATTGAAAATATGCAAATTCATGTATGTTCTTCTCAAATTTTCAATAATGATTATGGTAGAATTACCAGCACTTTAGGTGAACACTAGTAAATTTAATTTTATTAGTCTGATGTTAAGAGTGATGCCCTGATTAATACACAAAAAAAAATTGATATATTTCATATAATATGTACTAAAAAGTTAAGTAAAATTCAACCAAATAGTGATAGAAGGTAATAAAGGTAAAATATTGAGCGATGAAAACGCGCACGATTTCACTAATTAAGTTATTCATTGACATTTTGACATATCTATATATATATATTTCATTGACATATATATATATATATATATATATATATATATAGAGAGAGAGAGAGAGAGAGAGAGAGAGAGAGAGAGAGAGAGTGAGTGAGAGAGAAAATGAGTTGGTCGGGGGATGCGGCCAAATAAATACTAAGTTGTTAAAATATTATTTTATTCGTTACGCCGACGTTTCAATCCATTTTCATTTCTTTATTAGACAACTATTTCTTATTTAATATCTACTAATAATTCATTTATTTTCACTATGTGCCTATTATATTTCTATCTTTTGTAGCCCTGATGAAGACCTACAAAGTGGGTTGAAACTTCGCCGTAATGCATAAAATACTATTTTAACAATTTAGTATTTATTTGACCGAATCTCCCGGCCGACAATCATCCCTACACCATTATTTATATATATATATATATATATAAATTGACAAGAACTTTTCTGTAGAAGCATCAACGATATGTATTGTGTACAGAATAATAGAAATTTACAATTGTTAGTGCAACCAGTGTTAAGTCGAGAAACTTATTAAACAAAATCTGTTTGAAATATGAGTGCTAGCACAGTTGATTTTAACACGGTTCGATTTTTGTTATTGCTGGTGACAGTTCCAGAAGTTTCTAGTGAAGGTTTTATCTTTTGTAAAAGCCATTTTTCTTTTAATTACTACTTTCGTTTTAAATGAAATTTAATGTAAACAAAGGTGCGGAAAGAATTCAGAAAACCTTGGACAAATGATAACAATAATATATTCACATAGTTACGGGAAATCTGTTGAAGATTAAAGTTAATAATTTATGGTTGTTCATGTCTTAAACATTGTTCAAATATAGAAAAATAAGTATTTAAAAATTAAAATCAACGAGAATCATAAGTGGAGTTTTGATTACGAATAATTTAAGCTAATGAAAAGAATGATAGTTGGGGTGATCAATCAAGATGAAAATGGCAAAAATAAATAATAATATTTATTTAAAAAATAAATAAGTAAAATAATAAAATAAAAAATATATTATTATTTATTTTTGCCATTTTTATTTTGACTGATCACCCCAAATATCATTTTCTTCATTATTCACCACAATTATCAATTACAACCCACAATTATATAAGCTAATAACACTTTAGCAGAATGGCAGGAGCGATCGTCCACTCAAAATTCCTGCCAACAGTTTAGCACGATAACACAAGCTGTGTGGGCATCACTTTTTTGTCAATATGATGACTACTACACTGTAGTACACTTGCTGAGAACGGGGGTACTTTTACTCAAGACGATATGATGAAAACACCTATTTTTTCCTCACAACTTGGAGTGAATTTATACTTGTATGTAATAAACATCAACTAAATTAATGTGGGCTTAAAGCTTATTAAATCAAGAAATTTTTCAAAAAGTGGGGTATCTATAGCATAGTTGGAGAGTGATAAAATATAATCCCTCTTTATATGGTTTTAACAATAACAAACTTTCTTTTCCTTTAAAGTATATTTTGTTTGGTTCGCTGCGATGCAACAGTTAATTACTTAAATTAATATTGTATAATTAATTATAATATAATTAAATTGTATTAGTTTTCACTCCCAGTTGACGAAAAAGTTGTTGTAACAACCGTAGTATATAAAAACTTTAAATATGCAATGTCAATTTAGTATGACTTTTCGTTCAAGGCTAGGCAGTTAACACACACATACAGACATATATATATATATATATATATATATATATATATATATATATATATATATATTATATATATATATATATATATATATATATATATATATATATATATACACAGACCATTTCTCGGGACTTGGTTATTTTGACTCAGAGGACCTTAAAACGTGTATTTCCGTTGAAAACTGAGATTCGAAAATTTTCACGATCGAAATACTTTTCCTTTTTTTTCACAAACAGTCCTTAAAGACCATGCGAATATCACGAATTTAATGCTTCCTCTTCATCCTCCTCCTCATCTCACATATGCCCCTCATGAGCTCCGCGTGCTGAAGTTTTCTCTCCTCAGACCACGCAACACCCTTTTTGGAGCGCTTCTTGCCCGCAAGAACCGTTATTCTCTTGAGCGCCTTCCTGTACTCATCTCTGTCCAAACAATCTTGGTCTCTTAGCCCCGCTTGGTCCATATCATCCTTAATCTGTTTAAAATACCCGCTTAAATTCTGATGACTGTGGATGCTCTGAAAGATTTTATGGTTAAGTCTTTCAGGATTCATCCTCATCATATGGCCATAGAACCTCAGCCTTCCCACTCTAGCGTCAGTTTCTAGATCCGTTTTTTCCTTATATATTTCCTCATTTGACCTCAACCGCTATCCTTCAGGTGTTCTCCTAGGTCCGTAGATTCTTCTGAGAATTCTTCTTTCTATTTTCAGAAGGCTCTATATTGAACCCTTGGAGAAAAACTAGTAAAATGTATATGTATTTATATAAAATGTATAAAAATATATATTCTCGATGATAATTTAATTATTAAAAACTTTCTTCGCCTTGACTTATTCGAAGAAAGAATCAAGAGTTTTCTGCACAAATACAGTCAAAAATATGAGTTAACATTTTTCCAATCCTTATAAAAAAAAAACGTTCAAGAATGAATTCTTACAATTTTCCCAATGGCTATTTATACCTAATTTTTTAAGATTTATTTCGAACCAATCTTTTGCTGGACCGGATACAAAAAACAAAAACAAAATTCAAAGCTTGAATTTTACTACTATCGAAATTTATCTGAAAACGACTACACTCTTCTTCAAATATACTTCACAATTCTTCGGAATCTTTTTTTTTCAAATTTGTCTAACACAATTTTTTTTCGATTTGGTGTAGTTTGATTTCATCTTGTTTTAGATATCACTGGTTTTCTGATTGTCTAATTCTTTAGACTGTTAGAGTTACCTAATTTTATTTCATTTGTTTAAAGTATTATTGATTTTGTTTGTGTCCGGAACTACTCGTATATAAGTTATTGCTTTAATGTTGCCCAAATACATGGCCAAGAGTAGATACAGCAAATGTTGGTATTAAGTATTGCGCAGTCAGTCTTGGTCTTGAAGCAATAGTTACACAATTACCTAGAAGCCTATTTCTATCTATTAAACAGCTTGATTTAGATACTAGGACAACGAAACAGAGTAGGTACATTTTGAGCTTCTTTCCAGTTACCCGGATGCAACTCTATTGCATCGTTGTAGATTCAATCTATCCGTCTACTTTTGTATATGGGTAAGATGGATCGCACCAAGCTACATGCCCTGCCCATCCTAACCTCCTTGCCTTGATATCACGATATATTAAGTGACCAGTTTCTGTAATCAGCTCTCCTCGATGCAATAGTTCTCTGATACCAGATCGCTCCGATTCTTCCACTTGATTCTATATTTTATGAATTCGCTTCAATCTCTGACATAATTTAATTCTAATCAGAGTGTTGTCGGTATCAGTCTGTTCCACGATAGGTTCTCATATCTTGTATTGAGCTCTGATGTCTCTTGTCGACCAGCACATGATAAATTTGTTTTTCGCTCATTTGGGGCTTATAAACAGATGTACTTATTGATGTCCATTTGTAGGAACCTTGTAACAATCACTAAATCTTTAACTGCTGTCAGACTGACACATCTTACTTCTTTGGGGGCGGGGTGACCGAATGGGCTGACGCGTATGCAGAACACCGCGAGTTGCCCGGCAACCACCTAATCCGAAGTCAAGAGATTAAAAAAAGTAAGTAAAAAGAGTTCGCGTCCCGGGGCCGGATGAGATTTTAAATTCCCCGTCCTCACCCTCCGACCCGGAAAAATAATGTATAGCTCAAAAGCCAAGGTAGGAAAGAAGAAGGGGGGGAAAAATCTCACTTCATTGTCATTGCTATTTTCGAGAAGGCTTTGCCCTACGACAATGGCCTGAATTCGAGTTCTCGTCCGATCTTGGCATTGAAGTCACCTATGAATAGTGTTGTCCGAATGTGAGATCGGGACGAGCTTGGTCTTGCACGACGAACTCAGTTTTTAAGATGGTCTTGGTCTTGCGCAAGAGTCTCGCAACAGACTTGCAGTTACTTATTAGCTTATTGCTATATATATATATATATATATATATATATATATATATATATATATATATATTACTGCATGCCTAACTAAGCCCAAATTTAAAATTAGAAGAGTTAAATGCAAAAGTATATTGATTATACCAATCCTTTGCTCATAATAACTAAAATTATCAAGTATTAGGTAACTAGTTTGCCTTACTTTTTATTAAAAAAATCGATTTTGTTTTACCAGTATTGGTCTTGCACTACCTATGAGTAAATTTTTGTCAAGAGTTGGTCCCCATATTTTCGCAGGTCAGCTGTCTGTGTTGGTGGCAGGCGCCGCATACTCCTGGTTCGAACCAATCACAATCCGCCTCACAGAGGACTCTCACCTGGACCTCAGCAAGGAAAACGTTTCCTGGATCATCGCCATTCTGGAGGTCGGGAATTTCATCAGTCCTCTGGTGTCGGGAGAACTGACTAACAGGTGACTAGAAATAGTGATATCAGTGATTGTACACTAAGACTAACTTATAACTTCAAGCTTTTTTGGCATGGTACAAGATAGCTAATCAGCTGTTTTTCCCCTACTACCTAAATCAATGGAGAAAAACGTTTTTCGGATTAAAAAAAAAAATCGAATGTTGAAACTCTAATGACTGTTTCAAATTAAATTAACTAGACTTTTCCAAACACAATTAATCATTAGATTATGAAATGAAAAAAAAAGAAACGTATGAAAATTGAAAGAGGTTGCTAGAATGTTTACTTAGGAATAAGTTGAAAAAGTTATAAATTTGTGAATGATAAATAAATATTATTGTGACGATTGCATGCTTCTGTGTTTTGGTTGGTTTTTGCTTTAGGACTAATTGATTAATAACTTATAAAACAAAAAAGAAATATCTTTCATGATAAAATGTCATTATTCGCTAAATATAAGTTTTACACATTAATAAGCGTTGTATGGGCAATGTCTCAAAATTACTAGAGTACTATGAAACAAGCATCAGTAGGTGAATTCCTAAATTAAGGGTTTCAGAAAGAACATTAGGTAAACCCAGGATCTCGTATTTCAATTGTGTGCCGAAGAACAAGGGGTGAACCATTCAAGAATGTAAAAAGACATTTTGGTTTTAAAGGACCAGTAAACGTGACTTTGCCTAGAAAATATTTCCATCGGACAACAGGACAAAGCCAATACTACTTCGCTTACCAAATAGAGATGTAGGGGTGCCTGGGAACGCAGGCTGGTTTTCTCTATTCTCTACTGTTGCCTTTCATCTGAGTGAGAAGTAGGATCGATTTACTGAGAGGATTCGTATTTTAATTTCTTCGTCTATGCTGTTCTCGCGATTCACTTGTGATCTAAAATATGTAAAAGACTGTACTCTTTCAAACCTATGCTACCATATTTAGATGTGACTATTATCACGTTTGTATTGAAATGACTCTTATACAGCGTTCGGAGTTCTCCCTGCAAGATCCAAACCATCTGTGAATCCTAAATTCTGTCTTGTTAAGAAGATTCTTGACATTGAATGACAGTATTTCTAATGGCTAATTCCTCTTGATAACTTCCAATTCACTATTATAAAGCATAAATTGTCCTCCATTACTCATTATTCCATCTCAAAGGATACGCTTATTACCCAGTATTACACTGAGTTGAGGTGGCTCTACCCATCCTATCGCCATTAGTACTTCCTAGCCACCTTTCTGAACCAAATACTCCATCCAATCCCATCCCACCAGATCTCGTACTTCCGACCTCTATCCTCCTCCTCACCGAACTGCTGCGTTTGACAAATCCTTTGCAATACAAGCCGCCTCCCTCTGGAATTACATCCCTGCTGATATCAGACACGCTCAATCAGTTTCCTCTTTCAGACCTCTCCTCTTTAAGCACCTACTAGTTTCTCAATCCGAATGATTGTGAAATATACTTAAGAGAAATATCTAAGCGCCGCCAGAGACTACCTCAATTTATTGAGGTTATTTTAGTTTCTCATATATAGGTACAATTTACTTTTTCTTTTCTTTCTCTTTTCAGTATTTTTATCCTAAGTCAACTCTTATTGTAAATATACAATCTAATTGTAACCACGCAGACATACAATCTGTATTTATATTTTGTTCTTAAGTGACAACAGTCCCAGAATAATAAAATATGTTTTCATTTCATTATTACTCTATTATTATAACCTTATTTTTTATTCCAGGGTCGGACGTAAATTATTGATCATTAGCGTCGGCCCACTCTGCCTGGTTGGATGGGTTCTAATCCTCTGCTCCAAGTCAATGATCTCTTTAATCGTCGCCAGGATATTCCACGGACTCGCGGTGGGGGTGGTCTTCACGATCACGCCGATCTACACGGCAGAGATCGCCGATCCTGATCATCGTGGAAGGCTATCAGGAACATTCGAGGTAACCTGGTACCTAGGCTCTTTGTACTCATTCTGCGCTGGTCCTTACCTCAGCTACGATATGTTCGCCTACACCTGCCTTCCGCTTCCAATAATATTTACAATAATATGGATGTTCGTGCCTGAAACTCCTTACTACTTATTGATGATAAAGCGAGAGGAAGAAGCAAAGGAGATTCTCAAGTACTTTAGAGACGGAGACGTAGAAGAAGAACTCGAGAGCATGAAGAAAGCAGTAAGACAACAGTTGTCAACAGAAGAATCCTGGAAGAAACTCTTCTGCGATAAGGTCGAGAGAAAAGCATTCGTTATAGTCCAAATCGTCTCCATTACCAAATACCTGACTGGGATGACAGTGATCGAAAACTACGCATTGGAGACATTTTCGAAAAGCGGAGGATCCTTTCTCCCTCCAGAAATCATGTCTATCCTTCTTCCAGCCCTTCTTACCTTAATCGGCTTTATTGCAGCCTTCATGTCCGACTCGATCGGTCGTAAGCCATTGCTTTTGTTATCCTGTTTCGGATGTTTCGTAGCTCACCTCCTCAACGGTGGATATTCTTTCATCCATGAGAAGACCAACATCGATACTTCTAACTACGTTTTGATCCTCTACATCGGCCTTACGATGTATTGCGTCCTCTCAAGCATCGGTGTTGGAATAATCTTGCAAACTCTGCAGTCAGAGATGTTTGGTGCTAGTACTAGAGGTATCGCAGCCGGAGTCACTGAGGGTTTCTCATCGTTTATATCATTAGTGGTAATCAAACTATATACTACAATAAACGAGGCCTATGGATTATATCTTAACTTTTTTATTTACAGTTTGGTAGGTTTAGTTGGAGGAATTCTCTTGTCTTGTCTTGCTTATGAAACGGCGGGGAAGACGATAGGTCAAATAGAAGATAGATAAATGAATAAAGCTGTTCCTTGAATACATGTGAGCAGTTACGAATTTCCAAACAATAAATATTGCTACGTGTCTTTTGGTTTTGATAGATTTTTTAACGGGATGCCACTGGATAATTATTGAGGATAATTATCCAGAATTAATTAATAAAATATTATTTAAACAAATTATTTCATTTGACATATTGGTCCATGATTAATTTATTGGATTACTTCTCACAAAGGCTTGTTGTGAGTTTATCTGTTCTTTAATTACCAAACAATACCTGTACTTATAATGAAATAAATAGGTGGCATGATTAAAATAACTTTTATGTACAAATTATATTTATTTACAAGTTATATAAGAAAAGAATTTGTATATATATTCTATTAACAAAAATTACTGATTAATTATCTAAACAATTGGTTGTGAAGGCATGATTCAGATGGATAGAATTTAAAATTTATATTGCCATTAAATATGTATACATCTTTAAAAGGAATTGACTTATCTATAATGTTATGCGAAGTGTGAAGTTGAGATCATCATTGTTCAGATAGGTCTTCAACAGTCCTCCAGCCAGATAAAAACATCAGGGACCTCCTCAGAGCCGGGCAGCTACATCAGACCTCTCTTCTATGCCGGTCAGTCGCATCCGGCCATAAGTCATAAGACTTCTTCTCTATACCGGGCAGTGGCGTAAGCCCAAAAGCTTCCTCTTACATTCACCTCAGTGGATTTTATTACCATATCTTGGTTGGGCAAGCATGGTTCCCATTGGTTGGAGTTGTGTAGCAGAAGGGATGACCACACCCCCAGTGTTATGTTGAACACACCCCTTTTAGCAGGTACACGACCGTTTCTTCCTATGCTTAGAGTTAAAAGCTTTCTGGTCCTCTTTAAACATAAGACTGGTCCTTTGGTGTTTTTGGCCAACATCTGTTCTATTACCACTTACAAAAGGTTGGGTCGGGGCTCTCAGGTACCCGCCCAGGTTTTAGAAATTATCTTTAAATATTATTAATCAATATTAGGCTATATTCAATACATAGCAATATATATATACATACGAAAAACGATTTATATATTTAAAATAATACTCGCATTATTTTATCTTCATTGAATGTAACCAAATCTATTTGAGTCACATTACATAAACATACAAGACAATTCTACGAAACGCAACGCCACCTTTTGTATGGCGTTAATCACGAAAATTATATAATCTTTTTTGGTTTCATAGTTTCAGCTTTGCTAGCTGACAGAGAGAAAAGAAATAAAGTGAATTTTATACTGAGACATTTAGTCCCCTCAGAATAACTGTAATGAACAGGGATTGTATAGAATACAATACAACATTAGAATATAATTAAAAATAAATTAATTTACGTGGTTGTCTAACCCTAATATTTAAATAAAGAAAATACACTGTAGTAAATATATGATCTTGAAGCAGACATAAGAATTTAAAGACAAATACATATGATTGATTTCACTTAATTGTACAGATAAGCAATATGGTACATTCATAGATATCAGTAAAATGGAGCTTATGTATGTATGTAAAATTAATTTTTACATATATTTGGAAGATTGATAACTGAGCAGATGGAAAATAAATGGTGTTTAAATGAGGTCAAGGACGAGAATTCCCAAAACGAGATAGCACATATGACAAAGGGTATTTTAAAGGAAACAGTTCTATCTAAGAAGAAATAAACAGATTTGAGGGTTGGAATCTCGTGTTGAACGAATCAACGGAAGAACAAGGAGAAAAGAAACCAAGAAGGCAAGAAGGTTTTTTTATTGTAAAGGTTTGAAAAAGGAATACACCTAGGAAATATTGGCTTTCAGAAACCTGGATAGAGTTCTTCAACTCAGCATAGCAACTGGAGACGTGGGAGTGCCTTGGGACTCTAAGGATAAATCTAATGAAATAATTCATTAGCCTCTTAAATCTGATCTCAAGCCCACCAGACAGTCCAGGGTATACAAAGCAGCCATAATCGAAGTGAGAGAAAATGAGAGAATCTCTGGAACTGTTTAATGGTGCTAAGACAGAAGTTCTAAGCAGTTGAAAAATTAGATGATCTCAGTGTATTCTTACACAGGGCTGCTTGTTTACATTCCTAGGGCCAGTTCCAAAATATAGACAATATCACTTTCCATTTTTCTTCAATTTTTATTTGTCTGAAAGATTAAAAAATGTAGATTTGGCTTTAGCAATTAGTGAATAATTTGAACATTGAATAATTGTAAGTATGAAAAAGTTGTAAACTCAATTAATATGTTTTAAAAATACCATGTTTCATTTCATAACTCAAACAGCATGTCGGTTAATTATCAGAAAAAACTGCCATTTATTATTATTATCTAACAGTTAAATGGTCAATACAATGATTTAAAAGGTTTTGGAAAATCTTTCAGAGAGCCATATTTTTATGGGCAACGTTCAACAAAGGAATAAAAAAGAAATCTCAAGTAAAATTCTGATTGTCCTATTTTTACTTCTAGTTGCACAATTTTTAAAAAGAGGAAAGCAATGAAATTTCTTGGAATTCAGGTTATAAAGGCTCTTGAAAAGAGTACCCCTGTTAATCTATTATTATATATATTCTTTCTAATGTTCAGCTGAATAATTAGCCAATCAAATATTAATGTAATATGAGATATTGTGGAAAACATATTAAGTAAATAAATAAAAATATATATATTTGTATCTATTCTATGATTTGGCTATTAAATAAAATAATATAATTTATTTGAAATATATAAGTATGATTAATTAAATTAAATAAATCCACAAAGAGAATAATATCACTTTAATAAAAAAGAATTCATGAATAAAAAAATACATATTTAATTTTTAAAAATAATCCTTTCTTCATTACCTAGGAACAGCATACATACATACAGACATGGTATAAGGTGATGAAACGAATAATATATTATCTGATAAATCTACTAGTAGAAGAATTAGAGAAGATTCTACTGATGAAAAACCAGTTTTTTTGGGAAAAAAAAATAATCAATTATGTAATAAATATATAATAGTAAATTTTTAACAATCTATGTGTTAGGCTTTTTAAAAAAAAACTAGATGATTTTTTAAGTATTCATAAATCAGCCTATAATATTCGTAAAGGTCTGTCCGCAGTTTAAGTATATATGCACATATAAGGATGAAAAATAGTCAGAATATGAAGTCATTTCTGTTGTTAACTAAGTTTGCCAATCTTTCGATTCAATCATGTTGGTCCTCATCAAGGTTATGGTTGCTGGATAGACAAGAACTGAGCGAGTGGTACAATTCCTTATCATACCATACCACTTTCTCAGTTCTCCATAAGCCCCCAGTCAACAACAATTGCCCTGATGATGATCCACATGCTTGGGTTCAGCAAATTTGTTAAACGACAAAAAATTTAACTATTTTTCATCCTCACCGTTTTAACAGCCAACTATATCTCCTTCTTTCAATAAAACTTAAAATATATTTTTCAGCCAAAGATAAATTAATTTTTTTTAAATATAACACTGGTTACTGGAAATAAAAATGTCATTTCTTCGATATTATAGATAGTAGAATATTTTTGAAAAAGTTAAATAAGTTCTGATTTTTTTTACCATTGCTAGTCTCTATTTTATTTTAAAACTTTATTTGAAGTGAATTAAATTAACAGTTAATTAAAAACATTAACAATATATGTATTACATAATTTTTGAAATGTCATGCAATTATTATCAGATCGTGCCATACCTTTTATTAGTTTTGCCTATTTAAAATATAAAGGATAACAGTGTTTTTGTTCTATGTCCCATGTCAGCTTCCTCCCAGCATAGGACTCCTCTTTGTTGAACACCATCTTACTGAGTCCTGAGGATTTACGGTCAGTATCCTCTTTATTATCGCAACTATTTGGTAACTAAAGTTACCCTACCTTATTTAATTTACTATTAACTGATTTTTTTATGGATGGCTATTATTTGTGAAAATGTTGTAGGATGTATGCCGCTTCCTCTTTTGAATTTAGAACATTTTTTTCATTTATTGCTATACAAATGGATTCTAAACTTTTTAGCTTTGATCGGTAGTTTGATTAATGAAG